CGAGGGCCCGGGCCGGGGTCAGCCCCGGGCCTCGCGCTTGCAGCACGGTGGGAACGCTGCCTGCCGGAAAGTGGTTACTTTTTCTTTTTATTAAGTTTCACCATGGGGGGAGGGTATCAAGCATGCGTTGTGCATTTTGATCTGTGGGCCCGTGAAATTCACTTTTAGAAGTTCCCAGGACTGCTTTGTTTCTGTAAGAATTTGATGTAACCTTTCAAGTAAAACCTTCGCCATGTTAATGAAGGAGGAGGCACGCGCCGAGGCACACCTGTAATCTCAGCACACCCTGTCCTCTGTGTGGATCCCAGGGCTGGAGGATTGTGTGCTCCAGCCTGTGCTACATTAGTGAGACCCATTGTCAAAGAATCAATGAATGAATGGAATAGGGGATGCAAGATCCTTTACAAAGTTATTTGCTCTCTTTTTAAAACTACAAGCCATAATGCAAGGTTTGGCTTTGCAGATTGTTTTGCTTAGATAAATGTATTAAAATTAATTTTATTTATGCTACCAGGTGCTCCACCACTGTGCTATACTCTGATGACTAACCATTGTGTTTAAGCCTAAGACACATGGTATTCTTGCTAGAACAATTCCACCTTTGTTGTTGTTGGTGGTGGTCATGGGTCTTGAACTCTGGGCCTGGATGCTGTCCCTGAGCTCTTCAGCTCAAGGAGAGCACTCTGCTGCCACTTGAGCCCCAGCACCATTTCCAGTTTTCTGGTGGTTTATTGGAGATTATAGTCCCACCGCCTTTCCTTGCCTGGGTTGGCTTTGAACCGAGATCCTCAGATCTCAGCCTCCTTAGTAGATAGGATTACAGGCGTGAGCCACCAGCATCCGGCTCACTTCCACTATTCTTTTTTTTTTTTTTTTAAAGTGTTCAAGGTGACACTAGATGCAAAAGTCTGAGAGCTGAGATGCAAACCTACTAAGCTCCAACTTAGCAGATTTCTACTTATGATTGGAATTAAGCAAAACTATTATGGTATGCGGTTTAATCTGTAGATTTGGGACAGTTTCTTTATTAAACTTTTAAAGTGTAAAATTTAATTTATTGTGTGCTCATTATGGATTCCTTGTGTCAATAGATTCGTAATTGTTGGCAAGGATGTGTTCGATGCATACATACACAGCTTGACAAATCAGAAGATGGAAGGCTGATTTATACTGGGAATCTGTCTCGTGCAGTATTTGGTGGGTAATCAGAAGTGAGGATATTTCTTGTTTTTTCCTTTCAATATGTGTATACATATGCATTTTTATTCCTTGTTTTAGCATCTTTCAATTATATAAGACAACAATTATAATTTTTTTAGAAGACTGTTGCTAAGATATAGAGAGTGAGACTTAAGTGTCTGTCTCCTCCCCCTGCCCGTCCCTGCCTCCCCATTCCCCCCTCCTGTTGTGGGGCTTGACTGGCACCAAAAAGAAAAAAAATTTCGCATATATTACTTGCACAGAGGTTTTACTATGGTAATTGATACCTGCATTTGTTATATTTAGTCAGATTAACCTCACCTATGACTGTCTCCACATTCCTCTACCCTCTTGTTCATTAATTTTCAGTGAGTTTCTTCTGCTATCTTCATAATAGATACTATATATTTTAATCATTCAATGAATGATATTTTTTAATTTTTATTTTTTTTGTTGGTCCTGGGGCTTGAACTCTGGGCCTGGGTGCTGTCCCTCAGCTCTTCAGCTCAAGGCTAGCACTCTGCCACTTGAGCCACAGTGCCACTTCCAGTTTTCTGAGTGGTTTATTGGAGATAGGAGCCTCACAGACTTTCCTGCTCAGGCTGGCTTTGAACTGTGATCTTCAGATCTCAGCCTCCTGAGTAGCTAAGATTATAGGCATGAGCCATCAGCACTGGCCCTGTCCTTAACTCTTAATCTTACTGCCTAAGCCTTCTGAGTTCTAGACATTTGTTTAAAAAGTCAATACATGGGGCTGGGAAGATGGCTCAATAGTAGAGTGCTTGCCTTGCATGCATGAGGCCCTGGGTTCAATTCCTCAGCACCACATAAGCAGAAAAAGCCAGGAGTGGTGCTGTGGCTCAAATGGAGTTGAAGAGCTGAGGGACAGTGCCCAGACCCAGAGTTCAGGCCCCACCACCGACAAAAAAAAAAAAGTCAATACATAAAGTGAAATGTAGAGCAGGTTCTTTCTAGAAAGGGGAAAATAGAAATTAGTTTTGGTGTGGGTAGGACATAGTATTTGTGGGCTGGTATAACTTCATGATAATTTTGTTTATTTTTACAATTTTAACTTATAGAGGAATTTAGTGTTTAAATTATTTTAGTGTTAGAAAGACACTATCAGATCAATATTTTCTGTGGCAATTGAAGAGATCCATTAAGGTAGAGATATCATTCTTGGCAATTCCCCAAATTGCCATATGGGTACATATTTCATAGTTCTCAGTTATTGATTCATAAATAATTAGAGATGTCATTGAAGTATTTGCTATGCATTGTGTCAGGGGCTTTGTGTTGGAATGTTACTCAAAGATAAGGTGGAACAAATACCTCATAATAATCTTATTTATAAAATTATACAATAGATTTGAGTTCAAGAGGCAGGTTATATATTATTTTCAGACTAGGGAGAGAAAGAACAGAAAAGACCACATCAAGATGGCTTTCCTTCTGGATGAGTTATGTAGAGTTTGAATATGAAGAAAGAAGGGCATCCCAGGCATCGAAGTAGTATTGAAGAAAGATAGAACAGCGAAAAGCCACTAGATGATAGTGGCTCATGCCTATAATCCTAGCTGCTTGGGAGATTGAGATCTGAGCATCTTATTTCAAAGCCAGCTCTGCCATGAGACTCTTTTTTTTTTGTCAGTTGTAGGCCTTGAACTCTGGGCCTGAGCACTGTGCCTCAGCTCGTCAGCTCAAGGCTAGCGCTCTACCACTTGAACTACAGCGCCACTTCCAGTTTTCTGGTGGTTTATTGGAGGTAAGAGTTTCACGGACTTTCCTGCCAGGGCTGGCTTTGAACCGTGAACCTCAGATCTCAGCCTCCTGAGTAGCTAGGATTACAGGTGTGAGCCACCGGCACCCAGCTGCCATGAGACTCTTATCTCCAGTTATATACCAAAATAGCCAGAAGTAGAGCTGTGGCTCAAGTGGCAGGAACCTTGAGTGAAAAAGTTCAGAGACAGAGTCTAGGCTCTGAGTTCAAGTCCCATGATCAGCACAAAGGAAAAAAACATACTAATTACAGGGGCTGGAGGTATGGCTGAAGTGATAAAGTGCTTTTACACTAAGTATGAGGGCTTGCATTCAAACCCCAGTACTATCTCCTTCCCCAGATAGCCTTTAGTTGGTCACTTATGTGACTCATGCCTATAATCCCACCTACTCTCAGGAGGCTGAGATTGGCAGGATTGAGGTTTGAAGGCAACCTGGGCAGAAAACCTGTGAGACTACATTTCCATAAAACTAGCAAAAGCCAGCTGGGTACTGGTGGCTCATGCCTGTAATCCTACTCAGGAGGCTGAGATCTGAAGATCATGGTTCAAAGCCAGCCCAGGCAGGAAATTCCCTGAGAATCTTATCTCCAATAAACCACCAGAAAACTGGAAATGGCGCTGTGGCTCAAGTGGTAGAGTACTAACCTTGAGCTGAAGAGCTCTGGGACAGCACGTAGGCCCAGAGTTCAAGCCCATGACTGACCTCCCCCCCCCAAAAAAAAACAAAAACCTAGCAAAAGCCAACCTGGGCTATGGCTCAAGTAGTAGAGTTCCAGCTGAGCAAGTACAAGGCCCTGAGTTCAAACCCAAGTACCTGAAAAAGAAAGGAAATAGCAATTATTTCACTCTAGCCTAAATAAGATAGTAGATTAGATTTCTGACATACATTTTTATAAATTTAGTGACCTAAAAGAAGAGAAATTTAGCTGGTGCTTGTGGCTCATGCCTATAATCCTAGCTATGCAGGAAGCTGAGGTCTGAGGATCACAGTTCAAAGCCAGCTTAGGCAACAAGTCCCCATGAAACTCTTTAATTAACCACTCAAAAACCAGAAGGGAGCTGTGACTCAAAGCGCCCAGGTTCTGAGTTCAAGCCCCTTGGACTGGCAAAGAAAGAACAAATTTGCCAGGCGTCAGTGGCTCACTCCTGTAATCCTAGCTACTCAGGAGGCTGAGATATGAGGATCACGGTTCAAAGCCAGCCTGGGCAAGAAAGTCCACAAGACTGTTATCTCCAATAAACCATGAGAAAACTGGAAATGGCGCTGTGGCTCAAGTGGTAGAGCACTCACCTTGAGCTGAAGAGCACAGGGACAGCTCCCAGCCCAGAGTTCAAGCCCCGTGACTGACCAAAATTTGCTATATATGTGTGTATGTGATCTATCTATCTATATTTTTTTCCAGTCCTGGGGTTTGAACTCAGTGCCTGGGCACTGTCCCTGAGCTGCTTTTTTTTTTTTTT